CCACTCCAGGACCTTGAAATGCTTCTTACGAAGCCACTCCTTCGTTGCCCGGGCGGTGTGTTTGGGATCATTGTCATACTGAAAGACCCAGCCACGTTTCATCTTCAATGCCCTTGCTGATGGAAGGAGGTTTTCACTAAAAATCTCACGATACATGGCCCCATTCATTCTTTCCTTTACACGGATCAGTCGTCCTGGTCCCTTTGCAGAAAAACAGCCCCAAAGCATGATGTTTCCACCCCCATGCTTCACAGTAGGTATGGTGTTCTTTGGATGCAACTCAGCATTCTTTGTCCTCCAAACATGACGAGTTGAGTTTTTACCAAAAAGTTCTATTTTGGTTTCATCTGACCATATGACATTCTCCCAATCCTCTTCTGGATCATCCAAATGCACTCTAGCAAACTTCAGACGGGCCTGGACATGTACTGGCTTAAGCAGGGGGACACGTCTGTCACTGCAGGATTTGAGTCCCTGGCGGCGTAGTGTGTTACTGATGGTAGGCTTTGTTACTTTGGTCCCAGCTCTCTGCAGGTCATTCACTAGGTCCCCCCATGTGGTTTTGGGATTTTTGCTCACCATTCTTGTGATCATTTTGACCCCACAGGGTGAGATCTTGCGTGGAGCCCCAGATCGAGGGACATTATCAGTGGTCTTGTATGTCTTCCATTTCCTAATAATTGCTCCCATAGTTGATTTCTTCAAACCAAGCTGCTTACCTATTGCAGATTCAGTCTTCCCAGCCTGGTGCAGGTCTACAATTTTGTTTCTGGTGTCCTTTGACAGCTCTTTGGTCTTGGCCATAGTGGAGTTTGGAGTGTGACTGTTTGAGGTTGTGGACAGGTGTCTTTTATACTGATAACATGTTCAAACAGGTGCCATTAATACAGGTAACGAGTGGAGGACAGAGGAGCCTCTTAAAGAAGAAGTTACAGGTCTGTGAGAGCCAGAAATCTTGCTTGTTTGTAGGTGACCAAATACTTATTTTCCACCATAATTTGCAAATAAATTCATTAAAAATCCTACAATGTGATTTTCTGGATTTTTTAAAATCATTTTGTCTGTCATAGTTGACGTGTACCTATGATGAAAATTACAGGCCTCTCTCATCTTTTTAAGTGGGAGAACTTGCGCAATTGGTGGCTGACTAAATACTTTTTTTCCCCACTGTATATCATTGTAATGTATTTTTCTTCTTGGTTTTTTAAAGTATAAAATAGCTTCAGACTAAACATGACTCAGTCAGTTCCAGGTTGGATGGTGTTTCCAGGTTTCTGTTGGTTTGCCAGAGCATTTGCTGTATAGTTTGGGAATAGTCATCCTTGGTAGTAGAAAGCCTTCCAGGTAATTCTGTCCAAAATCAGGTTGTAGGTTTTGGAGTTTTGATTTGGAGTGAAGGTTATTGTGGAGGGTAGCTTCCTGTATATGTCCCTGCCAAAAAAATAATTTTTGTAAAAACAAGCTGAAAAATTATCTCTCTGTCGCTCTCTCTCTGTCTCTCTCTCTCTCTCTCTCTGCATGGGAAACATATGTTAACATTGCCAAAGCAAGTGAAATAGATAATAAACAAAAGTGAAATGAACAATAAAACATTTACAGTAAACATTTCAAATGTCATATTATGTCTATATACAGTGTAACAATGTGCAAATAGTTAAAGTACAAATGGGAAAATAAATCAACATAAATATGGGTTGTATTTACAATGGTGTTTGTTCTTCACTGGTTGCCATTTTCTTGTGGCAACAGGTCACAAATCTTGCTGCTGTGATGGCACACTGTGGTATCTCACCCAATAGAAATGGGAGTTTATCAAAATTGGATTTGTTTTCTGAATTCTTAGTGGGTCTGTGTAATCTGAGGGAAATAGGTTTGGAGTTTTGGTTTGGAATGAAGGTTATGTTGTGGAGGGTAGCATCCTGTATATGTCCCTGCCAAGAAATCACATTTGATCTAACTCTAAATCTACATTTTTTGTAAAAACATGCTGAAAAATGCGGGAGCTCTCTCTATCCTAAACCTCTTGATCTCTACTCTCTCTCTCTGTCTCTCCTCTCTCTCTCTCTCTCTCTCTCTCTCTCTGCCTCTCTCTGTCTCTCCTCTCTCTCTCTCTCTCTCTGCCTCTCTCTCTCTCTGTCTCTGTCTCGCTCTCTGTCTCTCTGTCTCTCTCTCTCAATTCATTTCAATTCAATTCGCTTTATTGGCATGACGTAACAATGTACATATTGCCAAAGCTTACTTTGGATATTTACAATATTAGCATAATTAAAATAATAATAATCAATATTGTCAACGGGACAACAGTAATAACAATAGCCAAGGGTCAAAATAACCATTGAACAATAACAATATAGAGGACATGTGCAGGTTGGTTGGTCTGTCAGACACTGTCCCTCATCTTATGGCAGGCAGCAATGTAGTGCTCTGCCAACCCACAGCTCTCTGCGTCCTCCCCCAACAGGACGGGTAGGCTATTCTCATCAGAGAGGTCTTTGAAACCTTGAAAAACTGTTTCAAATTTGGGGAAATCACACTCTCTAATTGTTTTATATTTTTTACATTTTGTCAGGAAATGCATCTCTCTCTGTCTCTTTCTCTCTGTCTCTCTCTTTCTCTCTCTCCCTCCCTCCCTGCCTCACTGTCGCTCCTTCTGTCTCCGTCTCTCTCCCCCCTAAAAATCTAAATACCCATGCAAAAAATACCAACATGCTTATTCAAAGATGCATACAGTCAATGATACACACACACACACACCTTTTCTGTATCTGCAAACACAGCCTTATAAGGTAAACTCTCTCTGTCTCTCGCTGTCAGATTCAGATAAGCTTTATTAGCATGAATAACAATGCCACTGAAGTGACAGCAAAGTGAGAAAATGACATCAACAACAACTAACAAAATAAACAATAGTAGTTGTCATTACTCCTCTTTCAATTCAATTCAAAGGGGCTTTATGGGGAAACATACAGTCGTGGTCAAAAGTTTTGAGAATGACACATTAATTTTCACAAAAAGTCTGCTGTCTCAGTTTTTATGATGGCAATTTGCATATACTCCAGAATGCCATGATAATGATCCCCAAAAAACATTTCCACTGCATTTCAGCCCTGCCACAAAAGGACCAGCTGACATCATGTCAGTGATTCTGTCGTTAACACAGGTGAGTGTTGATGAGGACAAGGCTGGGAATCACTCTGTCATGCTGATTGAGTTATAATAACAGACTGGACGCTTTAAAAGGAGGGTGGTGCTTGAAATCATTGTTCTTCCTCTGTTAACCATGGTTACCTGCAAGGAAACACGTGCCGTCATCATTGCTTTGCACAAAAAGGGCTTCACAGGCAAGGATATTGCTGCTAGTAAGATTGCACCTAACTCAACCATTTATCGGATCATCAAGAACTTCAAGAACTTCAAGGAGAGAGGTTCAATTGTTGTGAAGAAGGCTTCATGGTGCCCAAGACAGTCCAGCAAGTGCCAGGACTGTCTCCTAAAGTTGATTCAGCTGCGGGATCGGGGCACCACCAGTGCAGATCTTGCTCAGGAATGGCAGCAGGCAGGTGTGAGTGCATCTGCACACACAGTGAGGCAAATACTTTTGGAGGATGGCCTGGTGTCAAGAAGGGCAGCGAGGAAGCCACTTCTCTCCAGGAAAAACATCAGGGACAGACTGATATTCTGCAAAAGGTACAGGGATTGGACTGCTGAGGACTGGGGTAAAGTCATTTTCTCTGATGAATCCCCTTTCCGAATGTTTGGGGCATCCGGAAAAAAGCTTGTCCGGAGAAGACAAGGTGAGCGCTACCATCAGTCCTGTGTCATGCCAACAGTAAAGCATCCTGAGACCATCCGTGTGGGGTTGCTTCTCAGCCAAGGGAGTGGGCTAACTCACATTTTTGCCTAAGAACACAGCCATGAATAAAGAATGGTACCAACACATCCTCCGAGAGCAACTTCTCCCAACCATCCAAGAACAGTTTGGTGATGAACAATGCCTCTTCCAGCATGATGGAGCACCTTGCCATAAGGCAAAAGTGATAACTAAGTGGCTCGGGGAACAAAACATCAACATTTTGGGTCCATGGCCAGGAAACTCCCCAGACCTTAATCCCATTGAGAACTTGTGGTCGATCCTCAAGAGGCGGGTGGACAAACAAAAACCCACAAATTCTGACAAACTCCAAGCATTGATTATGCATGAATGTGCTGCCATCAGTCAGGATGTGGGCCAGAAGTTAATTGACAGCATGCCAGGGCGGATTGCAGAGGTCTTGAAAAAAGAAGGGTCAACACTGCAAATATTGTCCTTTTGAAGAACACAGTGATTTAGCTGTGGTCAGACAAAAGGGGCAGGGGTTTGACTGTGAATGCACTCAAAGAGAAAGGGTCCATATCTGTGACCATATAATCATGTCTGTGACCATATAACCATGTATGTGACCATATAACCATGTCTGTGACCATATAATCATGTCTGTGACCATATAACCATGTCTGTGACCATATAACCATATCTGTGACCATATAATCATGTCTGTGACCATATAATCATGTCTGTGACCATATAACCATGTCTGTGCTACTGCCAAGAGATGAGAAACGGCTATGTCTTCCTAGAGTTCCCTCGACCCTACCATTAATAATGTACAGACCCATGCTTTGGCAGAGCTGCAGCAGATCCTTCACGTTTTTGTTGATGGTGGTGTAAATTATTTCTGAGGAGCATATTCAAATGATTAAATAAATAGTGGTCAATTATAAAGTTGTCTCCCTGGGTGCTGGTTATATCATGAAGAGTTCCTGTTCTGGTCAGCACATAACAGCACGTTTCTTTGGCCTTGAAAATGGCATCTCTCTAACTCAAGCTTAGAGAATGTGTCATCTGAATAGTAAGGAGACTGAGGGCGGTACATACACTCACTGGCCAGTTATTACATACACTCACCGGCCAGTTATTACATACACTCACCACCCAGTTATTACATACACTCACCACCCAGTTATTAGATACACTCACCGGCCAGTTATTACATACACTCACCACCCAGTTATTACATACACTCACCACCCAGTTATTACATACACTCACCGGCCAGTTATACTACACTCACCACCCAGTTATTACATACACTCACCACCCAGTTATTACATACACTCACCGGCCAGTTATTACATACACTCACCACCCAGTTATTACATACACTCACCACCCAGTTATTACATACACTCACCGGCCAGTTATTACATACACTCACCACCCAGTTATTACATACACTCACCGGCCAGTTATTACATACACTCACCACCCAGTTATTACATACACTCACCACCCAGTTATTACATACACTCACCGGCCAGTTATTACATACACTCACCCCCAGTTTTACATACACTCACCACCCAGTTATTACATACACTCACCACCCAGTTATTACTACCTCACCGGCCATTATTACATACACTCACCGGCCAGTTATTACATAAAACTCACCACCCAGTTATTACATACACTCACCACCCAGTTATTAATACACTCACCGGCCAGTTATTACATACACTACACCCCCCCGTTATTCCCTACACTCACCCCCCCAGTTATTACATACACTCACCGGCCAGTTATTACATACCTCACCCACCCAGTTTTACATACACTCACCACCCGTTTTTACATACACTCCCGGGCCCGTTATTACATACACTCACCACCCAGTTATTACATACACTCACCGGCCAGTTATTAGATACTCACCGGCCAGTTATTAGATACACTCACCGGCCAGTTATTAGATACACTCAACCGGGCCCTTATTAGATACACTCAAACCCGGGCCCGTTATTAATCACTCACCGGGCCCGTTATTAGATACACTCACCACCCAGTTATTAGATACACTCACCGGCCAGTTATTACATACACTCACCGGCCAGTTATTAGATACACTCACCACCCAGTTATTAGATACACTCACCGGCCAGTTATTACATACACTCACCACCCAGTTATTAGATACACTCACCGGCCAGTTATTAGATACACTCACCACCCAGTTATTAGATACACTCACCACCCAGTTATTACATACACTCACCACCCAGTTATTACATACACTCACCGGCCAGTTATTACATACACTCACCACCCAGTTATTACATACACTCACCGGCCAGTTATTAGATACACTCACCGGCCAGTTATTAGATACACTCACCGGCCAGTTATTAGATACACTCACCGGCCAGTTATTAGATACACTCACCGGCCAGTTATTAGATACACTCACCGGCCAGTTATTAGATACACTCACCGGCCAGTTATTAGATACACTCACCACCCAGTTATTAGATACACTCACCGGCCAGTTATTACATACACTCACCGGCCAGTTATTACATACACTCACCGGCCAGTTATTAGATACACTCACCGGCCCGTTTTTTACATACACTAAACCCGGGCCATTATTACTACACTCACCGGCCAGTTATTAGATACACTCACCACCCCCCGTTATTAGATTACACTCACCGGCCAGTTATTAGATACACTCACCGGCCAGTTATTACATACACTCACCGGCCAGTTATTGGGTACACTCAACCGGCCAGTTTTAGATACACTCACCACCCATTTATTAGATACACTCACCGGGCCCGTTATTTGATCACTCCCGGCCAGTTTTTAGATAAAATCACCGGCCAGTTTTTTACATAAAACTCCCGGCCAGTTATTAGATTTCACTCAAACCGCCAGTTATTAGATACACTCACCACCCTTATTAGATACACTCACCGCAGTTATTACATACAAATCCACCCGTTATTACATACACTCACCGGCCGTTATTAGATACCTCACCGGCCAGTTTTTTAGATACACTCACCGGCCAGTTATTACATCCTCACCACCCAGTTATTACATACACTCACCGGCCAGTTTTTTAGATACACTCACCGGCCAGTTATTAATTACACTCACCAAACCCCGTTATTAGATACACTCACCGGCCAGTTATTAGATACCCCTCACCGGCCAGTTATTACATCACTCACCGGCCAGTTTATTAGATACACTCCACCGGCCAGTTATTAATACACTCAAACCCCCCAGTTATTAGATCACTCACCGGCCAGTTATTACCCTACACTCACCCACCCAGTTATTACATACACTCACCGGCCAGTTATTACAACACTCACCACCCAGTTATTACATACACTCCCGGCCAGTTATTACATACACTCACCACCCAGTTATTAGATACACTCACCGGCCAGTTATTAGATACACTCACCACCCAGTTATTACATACACTCACCACCCAGTTATTAGATACACCACCCAGTTATTAGATACACCACCCAGTTATTAGATACACCACCCAGTTATTAGATACACCACCCAGTTCATGAAAATGGATGGCTCCTACAGACAGTGAGTCACGTGACCATGGCTGACAGGCATCGAGGCATCCAGTTACTGTTTGATTGAACGTTAGAATGGGCCAAACGAGTGACCTAAGCGGCTTTGAGTGCGGTATGATCATCAGTACCAGGCGCGCCGGATCCGGTATCTCAGAAAACGTCTGCCCTCCTGGGCTTTTCACGCACGACAGTGTCTAGGGTTTACCGAGAATGGTGCGACAAACAAAAAACATCCAGTCAGCGGCAGTCCTGTGGGCGAAAACAGTGTTGGCCAGGGTCACTCGTGTGCATGTTGGAGGCCTGTGGGTTCTTGTGGTGGCAGGATTGTGGGTTGGTTGAGGTGCAGCCCATAATACAGGTCCAATGTTTGTGTGATGTGTGAGGTAGACCTTTGGTAGAGATGCCATTTTCCTTTTTCCTCATTCAGCTTCTTTGTCTTGTTAGATTGTCATCTTGAAGTTCATCTGGTTTTTTTTCTCCATAGAAACATTTCTAATATTTTAGGAGCTCAAGTTGTGACCTTCCACTCTGCAGGTCACCTCTCTCTCCAGCTCATTCTCTCTCTCTCTGTCTCATCCTCTCTCTCTGACACCACCTCTCTGTCTCATCCTCTCTCTCTGACACCACCTCTCTGTCTCATCCTCTCTCTCTGACACCACCTCTCTGTCTCATCCTCTCTCTTTCTGACACCACCTCTCTGTCTCATCCTCTCCTCTGACACCACCTCTCTCTCTGTCTCATTCTCTCTCTCTGACCCCACCTATGTCTCATCCTCTCCTCTGACACCACCTCTCTCTCTGACACCACCTCTGTCTCTTTCTCTCTAGCCATACAGAACTTTGTGTTAGTACCCCAGCACACCACTCCCACCAACGCTACTAAAGAGATCGATGCCCTCTACGATGTCTTCCTGGATGTCAAGAAGAAATGGAAGACAGAGGTAACAGTGTTTCTGTGGCCAGAACTCAATCCAATCATGCTTTGTGTCTTAATGCACCATGTAAAATAACATTTCCAATTGGGCCGAAATATGCACCGCTTACCATTAATGCGATCTCCGCAAACATTGCCTTTAAAATATGCATTGTCTACAAGCACGGTCAGATTTAATCCCGGGCTGTGCGTGTTTTAATTTACTGTGTGTGTCGTGGTTGTTAAGGTTACCATATCACCTGGTTAGGGCTGTATCATCTCTTACTGCCACACTGGCCGTCATGGTAACTGTGCTCTGATGGTCATTAGTAGCCTCCCAAACTTCCAGTTGCTAACGGCCTGGCTGTCACGGTAACTGTGCTCTGATGGTCATTAGTAGCCTCCCAAACTTCCAGTTGCTAACGGCCTGGTACTCTGATCACTCTGACATCAAAATCAAACACTTCATGAGAGCCCTGGCTTTGAGTTGGAGCAGAATAGGATCGGCTGTGGAATGAAATAAGTTCCTGTTGCACAACATTTCTGCAATTGCGTGAGAAAACAGAGTTTTGATGGCCTCTATTAAAAAGAGGAGGATACCATCAGATTTCTATAGGCTAGGCCTACTATATTTATTTCTCAACTTTCCTAATATTAAGCACATTGATCGCTTTTCAACTGGAGTAGTCTACCTGACTGGCATGAAAATGAACCGCGGGAAAAGTGACCTCTATTCGCTATTCAAATGTTGGAATGGGCTCATTGGGAATGGGCTCGTTGGAATGGGCTCGTTGGGAATGGGCTCGTTGGAATGGGCTCATTGGGAATGGGCTCGTTGGGAATGGGCTCGTTGGGAATGGGCTCATTGGGAATGGGCTCGTTGGAATGGGCTCGTTGGGAATGGGCTCGTTGGAATGGGCTCATTGGGAATGGGCTCGTTGGGAATGGGCTCGTTGGGAATGGGCTCGTTGGAATGGGCTCATTGGGAATGGGCTCGTTGGGAATGGGCTCGTTGGAATGGGCTCGTTGGAATGGGCTCGTTGGGAATGGGCTCGTTGGGAATGGGCTTGTAAGTAAGCGTTTCCCGGTAAAGTTTACACCTGTTGTATTCGGCGCATGTGACCAATATTTGTTATTATGTTTTATTTTTATACTGCGTACGGACGTATTCCCCCCCCCCCCCCCCCCCCCCCCCCCCCCCCCGCCCCTGTTCCTACAGATGCATGATAATGGCCAATTCTAAATCAAAACTAATGTCACATATAATATTTACTATATGTAAAAACAAGATTAAATTGAGAATAGTCTGATGAGTGATAATATTATCACGAATGATGCTCAGCATGTGCAGTCTAAGGCAAGAAACAGCCCATGCATTTTTTTACGACTTTTTCTAATCATATTTGCATGCATACAGTATGTTTTGATAAAGTTTGTATCACAACTAAAGTGGCCAAATAACTCAAAACATAGGCTATAGGCCTGGGACTCCTGGACCAGGGTTGGAGAGCCCACAGAGCCTAGGACTCCTGGACCAGGGTTGGAGAGCCCAGAGCCCAGAGAGCCTAGGACTCCTGGACCAGGGTTGCAGAGCCCAGAGGCCAGAGAGCCAAGGACTCCTGGACCAGGGTTCCAGAGCCCAGAGAGCCTAGGACTCCTGGACCAGGGTTGCAGAGCCCAGAGAGCCTAGGACTCCTGGACCAGGGTTGGAGAGCCCAGAGCCCACAGAGCCTATGACTCCTGGACCAGGGTTGGAGAGCCCAGAGCCCACAGAGCCTAGGACTCCTGGACCAGGGTTGGAGAGCCCAGAGCCCACAGAGCCTATGACTCCTGGACCAGGGTTGGAGAGCCCAGAGCCCACAGAGCCTAGGACTCCTGGACCAGGGTTGGAGAGCCCAGAGCCCACAGAGCCTAGGACTCCTGGACCAGGGTTGGAGAGCCCAGAGCCCACAGAGCCTAGGACTCCTGGACCAGGGTTGGAGAGCCCAGAGCCCACAGAGCCTAGGACTCCTGGACCAGGGTTGGAGAGCCCAGAGCCCACATCCCACAGAGCCTAGGACTCCTGGACCAGGGTTGGAGAGCCCAGAGCCCACAGAGCCTAGGACTCCTGGACCAGGGTTGGAGAGCCCAGAGCCTACAGAGCCTAGAGAAACAAGTATTCTTGTAATGTTTAATTAACGATCAATTACCGTGAGACTGGCAGTTATTTGCGTGACAGTTACTGGCTGACAAAATGTCATGACCGCCAACACCCTAGTGGTGATGTTCCTAGGTGATTTTAACGGTGTGTGTGTGTGTGTAGATGGTGATGTTCCTAGGGGATTTTAACGGTGTGTATTTGTGTGTAGATGGTGATGTTCCTAGGGGATTTTAACGGTGTGTGTTTGTGTGTAGATGGTGATGTTCCTAGGTGATTTTAACGGTGTGTGTTTGTGTTTGTGTGTAGATGGTGATGTTCCTAGGGGATTTTAACGGTGTGTGTTTGTGTTTGTGTGTAGATGGTGATGTTCCTAGGGGATTTTAATGCTGACTGTGGCTATCTGGCCAAGAAGAACAGGCAGCATGTACGTCTCTATAGTAACCAGGCCTTCCTGTGGCTGATAGGAGACAAGGAGGACACCACCGTTAGACAGACCACCACCTGCGCCTACGACAGGTACGTCTGTCTGTCTGTCTGTCTGTCTGTCTGTCTGTCTGCCCGTCTGTCTATATGACTGTCTGCCTGTCTGTCTGCCCGTCTGTCTATATGTCTGTCTGTCTGTCTGCCTGTCTGTCTGTCTGTCTGTCTGTCTGTCTGCCTGTCTGACTGTCTGTCTGCCTGTCTGTCTGCCTGTCTGCCTGTCTGTCTGTCTGTCTGCCCGTCTGTCTATATGACTGTCTGCCTGTCTATATGACTGTCTGTCTGCCTGTCTGTCTGCCTGTCTGTCTGCTGTCTGTCTGTCTGCCTGTCTGTCTGTCTGTCTGCCCGTCTGTCTATATGACTGTCTGCCTGTCTATATGACTGTCTGTCTGTCTGTCTGTCTGCATTGTAGGCTGGTCAGTGCACTGATCTACAATGCGCCTTTGATTGAATCCCCACCCTGTTTGTTAACCCTGTTTGTTAACCCCGTGTGTTAACCCCGTGTGTGTGTGTGTTGTAGGATCGTGGTCCACGGGGAGGCATTTGCAAATGCCATCGTGCCCCAGTCCGCACGACCTTTCAACTTCGCCGAAGAATACCACCTCACAGAAGAACAGGTAACACACCCACAGAGTCAATTCAACAGGTAACACACCCACAGAGTCAATTCAACAGCTAACACACCCTGAGTCAATTCAACAGGTAACACACCCACAGAGTCAATTCAACAGCTAACACACCCTGAGTCAATTCAACAGCTAACACACCCAGAGAGTCAATTCAACAGCTAACACACCCACAGAGTCAATTCAACAGCTAACACACCCAGAGAGTCAATTCAGGATGTAAATTGAAATTCAATGTGTGATTTTGTGTGTGTTTTAATTAGGGCTGTCAAAAATAGCGCGTTAACGACGTTAATTAGTTGTTTGCTGTTAATTACGTCAATTTTTTTAACGCATTTCACGCATGCGCAGTGTGACAAATTATTCAGGTCAGGAAAGTGGTTGGGAGCTAGAGGCGAGATGGAGCAAGGTGAGCAAAGTGGGCCTATTGACGGATTCAAATATAAAAAGAATGATGATGGTACAGTTAACAAGTACAAGGTTATTTGCAAGATTTGTAAGAAGGAGTTTCAATTTCACCGGAGCTGTTCAAGCTTGAAGTACCATGTCAACGCCAAACATGCGTTTGCTGGGCCGTCAGATTCAGCAAGTGGTTTGCGCCAGACCACGCTGAATGTTTGCAGGCAATTAACAAAATCAACCTCAGATAATTTGACCAACACAATAGCAAAATGGATTGCAAAGGATTGTAGACCCATTAGCATTGTAGAAGACTCAGGTTTCCTTGATGTTTTGCAAGTGGCGTCTCAAGACTCATTCTATAAGCCACCGTCAAGAGCCACAGTTATGAAGAAAATCCACGAGCTCTATGAAAACGAAAAAGAAAAAAGGAAAGAGGTCTTGGCTCAAGTAAATCATATCGCCCTGACAGGAGACCATTGGACATCAGTGAGTAACAACAATTACCTCGGAGTAAC